TGGTTATACTGTGTTACTAGAAGAAGAAGAAGTAAACCGCCGGCGTAGTCGCTCTGTCGCTCTCGGGTCTATGGGATTCTCTCTGTAAACGGTGAGAAAGATCCATAACCTCTTTAGCTTTTGGTGTAAGGAAGCTAAAATGTAGGCACACTGAAAAAATTTTTTGTAAAATTACATGATTATGCTGGGTTTTTTTCCGACCCAGCATAATCATGCAATATTACTACCCACATGGAAAATTGCAGACTTTTTTCTGTAATTTTCCATGATTTTCTGTAATTTTGCATGAAAATTCAAGTGATTTTTACACAAAAATAGTAATTTCACCTATATTTTACCATTAATATGTATTTTCACTTTAAGAAATCTGGAAAAAAAATTACAGTTATAATTAGGTAATTTTCCGGATTTGAACAAGTAATTTCCATGTAAAAGTACATTAATTTTTTTCAGTGCATAATTTTGGAACATTTTTAAAATATTTGTAACACTGGCCGATGGCGTTTTAATTCACCGAGAGTAAGCGTAAGAGCTGAAGTACGAATAAGAAATAAAACTGATTTATTTCCTTACTCCTACTCCTATTCCTTACTACTTAACTTTAGACTTACTGCATGTAGACGACGCATTAGGTTTAGGGTCTATCCAGACAAACTTGCATAGCACATAAACATATGCATAAGGAATCTGAATGCGCCACAAGTGCATGCATAAGAAAATTAACCAATCCATTTCTTTATACATGTGCTTATGCAAGTTTGTCTGGATAGACCCTGACGACTTTCTTGGAGGAGTTACGTTTTTGTTTACATTGACTATTAAAATAAGAATTGTTGTTTCAGACGGTGGAAAAATGGCAACAACCGACATTATGAGCAACAATATGAGCGAGGATAAAAGTGATAACATAAACGAGAGCATAAGTGATAACACAAGTGATAATGTAATCAATACTATATGCGATAAGACCAACAGTACAATAAGCAATTGTGATGAGAGGGAAGCTGTTCGTCGGCAATTTTATAAAAAACCTGTAAAAAGGGATAATATGAAGTTAGAAATTGATGACAGTACACCTCAAGAAGAAAGACGCAGAGTGTTATTGGAATATCAGAAAAAGTATGTATAGCAGATTACGTACAGAAATATTTTATTCCAAAATATATATCTTAAAAAGAAATTAATAGATGTATTTAAGTACTAACGTCTAGAAAATCATTGAATAAAATTAATAGATTTGCAATTAGACGTATAAACAAGTTATTCTGCATTGAAAAATATCTTATAAGATAAAAATCAGTGAAATTAAATAGTTTTGGTTTTCTTAGCTATTGAAGAGAAAGTCACAACGTTCAAAAATTTGTACTTTTAACCACATCTAACATAATAATTCATTCATTATAACTATACTTTTCACTGGCTTCAATCACTATATTTTTATGTCGTCTAAAATTCTGTTACTTATTCTATTATTTTACACATATGCTATTTTTATAGACAGAGAGAAGAAACAGTTAATATTGCACGCGGTATACAAATCATTAATGATGCAGAAGAGTATTCCGCACCAGAAGACGAGAAATATATGGGTGTGGACAAGGTGTCGTGGTATTTTAGGGTTTTTAGGGAGCGCACAGTTTCTCGAATGATGCTGTCAGAATGGATGCTAGAAGTGCCGCAAGATTTAATTGAAAACTGGGTTATGGTTCCGTGTCCAAAAGGAAACCGAGTTAGGCTGATTTCTGGCTGGGTATTTATCTCTGTTGATATATTTAACATGTAATAAAAAATCTGTTAAATGCACAATGATTATCGTAACGATTTTAAATTAGGGTGAAACAAGGGCATATTCTAGAAAAGGCGAGCTTCATAGCGTTTTTCATTCAGCACTTCCAGGTGGAAATCCTGATAGTGAATTCTTACATCATACTGCTGCTCTAGATGGTATATGGATAAGGAGCAGAAAACTCTTTTATATACTAGACGTGTTGTATTGGAATCAAATAATGGTCACGAATTGCGAGGTAACATACACATGTACATTGCTAATTTTATTTGTATTTGTGAGGCAAAGAATACAAATTTCTACTATGTCTATAGGGTCGGCCGAAACGAAACTGCTAGATTTTGATTGTGTAGGAAATTTAATTCTGAGTAAAAAATTTCCTATAAACTGGATCGAAAAATTCTTTAAGAAGTTAGTGCCCGGAAACCTCTAAATCTTTTTTTTGTTACATGTTTGCAAATATCTAGGAGAGTGTCTTTTGACAAAAAAGTACCAAAACAGAAGTTGTAGAAAATTAGATTATCTTTCAAATAAAACCAAAATACTTTTGTATTACACTTTTCTAAATATTTGTAAAAATGCATAAAAAATAATTGTAGAAGTTTTTAGACACTAACTTCTTAAGCAAGCAGTTTTCGACCCATGTTTATAGAAAATTTTTTGTTCAAAATGGAATTTCCTATAAAATCTCAAATTTACACATACATATATGTATTTATTACTTATATTGTATATTGTAGGAATTTGTACTCTCTGAATTACTCCTTGTATTATACACGTATTATACGAAATATTATTTCAGACTGAATTCAGGCAGTACTGGATCAAGTCCAAGTTTCAGGAAACGCCAGAATTAGAGGAACGTGGCACTAAGAAAAATAAATATCCCATTTTAATTCTACCAAATATTGATTGTAACTGTGACCTCAGTTCAGCTCTGATGAACCTGGATGACCTATATCCCTTGGATGGGCTTTTATTTTATCATCGCAAAGCGCTGTATACCTTTGGAACTACTCCACTTGTAACGTGGTTGAAACCTTTTATGTTACCTGAAGTACTGGGAATATACGTACCTTCACCGCTTGACGAGAAACCAGACGATTATATAAATTTTGACCATCACATATTAAAAGTAAATTCTAAAAAAAATCGGAATCCAACAAAAAGTGTTACCAATTCTGTAAGTTCCTATCTTTCTATTATACAGAGAATATTAAGTTCGTGTGTTAGTCTTATTTAATATTAATGTATTCTTTTTTTAATTTTACAGATGGAAATAGAAGTTATCGCTTAAAATAAAAATAATAATGCATCTGTGTTAATGACGTCAAACTAGAAATAGTTCACATAAGTAAGCCTTAAGTATATTTTTAAATCAACAACACAGTATATATTTTATGAAAATAAATAATGTAGATTATCTTGTCTCTTTTATAATAATGATATATATATATATATATGTACAGTCGGGAGCACTGAGGTTGCGACACTTTTTTTTTTATAAGTTTACGAACGCGCAAAATAAATCAGGATCCTGAATTTTTTTGCGCGTTCGT